TAGTCAACAATTTGTAGTGTAAGCATGTTGCTTTTTAGGCTTATAAATTATTTAAATCTTTTCAAAATATGAGGATTGCATGGGTTGTGAGTTTTGACAATCATTGGCACTGTAATCACTTGAATTTCCACTTTTTATGCTACTGGGCCAAGGGCATATTGTATATATTTTGGTTTACTTGATGGGTAAAATAAAAGCAGTTCATAGGGTATACAAATATATATCTTTCATTCCTAACCATAAATATGAGAGAAGTAACCCTCGATTATTTACAAAGTCTTGTGCTAAGTCATACCATACAATATCCCTTCAACATTTTATTTACATGAAAATGAGGCATATTTTGCCGTAAACAACTTCCTGAAATGTATTATGTGGAGGAAGATAAATATGGATCTTTTTTGTATGCTGAGAGCTGTCAACAGTGTTTTCATATCCAGTGATCTGTCATATAAAGATGCAATGTGTGCATGTGATCACGAATCGGTTATTTAGGCCTTGGGCTTACCGTATGTGATTTGCATCGTAGAATTGAGATTTGAATACATTTTGTACATTGTTGTGTACAGTACACCATGCATGCGATGCAGGTTCATAAATGGTATGGTTTGTCGATGAATATTTGTGTGGTTAACACTGTGGTTGCTTTCCTTGCCTCTGTAAATTTGTTCGTTTGCCACACATGCAATTCTGTGTAAAGCAAAAGGCACCAACTGATCAGATGAAAGGATTGCTTTGTGCAACACAGTGGCTTTGAAGAATTACCCATTTCTTGGCTTGATTACTGGTACCTCCATTGCAACCGTTTTAACATGGGTGTAGATTAAACGTTCATTGGAAATCATGAAGCCTTTTGGCATATCCATCCCATGACAAATACAATGTGGCACAAGGAAAATATTTGCTTGGCATATAAAGAGTTAAATTCATGATGAACTTTGCAGAAAGAGGGCAAGTGAGGGATTAATCAAATGTCAAATTCCCTTCTCTTTTTGCTTCTTCAATGTTTCTTAAATCTGTCATGAACTTGTTTCAGAGATCAATCATTATCATGACTAACATGTTTCTCAAACAAGCATTCACAGAATGTAAAGTCAACTGTGTGCACAGTCGTATATATAAGAAAGCGCCACTCATTGTGAAGATATAGGACCCACCTTTTTGCACAGTTCTCGGAAATAATGATTGCACCCCCCTTTTATCGGGCCCCAGGGTATATCTGCGATGGCTGGAGCCCTAGCGTCTGATTAATTCATAATATTCACATTTGACTTCACATATCAAGTAATTACTCACCGCTTCTTTATTGCACGCCAACCCTCGGCGTGGCCTCTCATGTGCTCGTACCACTCCACTCTCCGACTTTCAATAGCACAGACATCTTTAACCTTTGGAATCTTGTTGGTCTTTAATTCAGATTGATGTGCATCGAAGGCTGGGCCTGCTTCTCAAGTCGAAGATGATTTTAACCGAGGTCGGGGCCTGGTTCTTTGCCGGCCTGCTCACTTGTAAATGAAAGATGATGGATGCGTTAAGTAATAGAAATCATAAAGATTTATCTAATTAATAAAACAAATGCTCTTGTCACTGAAGTGTTGAGAGAATAGGCTCCTTGAGTGCCTACACAAAAGCTGCCAACTTGAAAAGAGGAAATTAATTTGATGGAGGCAAGTCTTGGTTTCATTTTTATTTTAGTGCTGAAAGCTGTAACTTACATGTAATTTACAATTCCAAAAACAGGCAATACCAATATTTTTTCTCTCAGATATTTTGCTATCCAAAAGAGCCAAGCCTCGACCGGCCTAACTTTATATTTGTAATCCTCAACATACCTTGAAACTAGAACTGTGTGTGGAAGAAGAAGGACACAAACACAATTTGGGGTCATTTTGAGAGTTTATTTTGTTTAGAAAGGGCTAAATAGTATTGAGAAGATGTGAATATATAGCCTTTAACATAATAGGAAGAAACAGATAGTGAAAGGAGTAAAATATGATTATGTAGATGAAGCGAAAGTATCAGGTCAAACCTTTGAAAATATGCAAGCTACTGGAAATACACCTCTGCTCGTTCCCATACACGTTGAGAAGATTGTATTTGGGATACCAGTGCTGGATGTTTGAGATGGAGTATTTATAAATACATATGATCTCTTTGATATGTCTGCCAATGATTAACACTAACATTAGCACTACTTTAAACTAGGTAGATAAACCTGGTCTTCCCGTTGGTGCAGAGAACTGCAGTGATGTTCTCATTGGACTATTACAAACTTGTAACTTTTTAACCATGCATGGTTTCAGAGCGATGTCGCTTTCTAATGTAAAGGGAACGGGATGATCCTCAACTTGCTTTAGCTACATTTGTTATGGACCCTCTTTCATCAAATGTATTAGCTTAGGGATTGGGTTGCAATAGGGTTAGGGTTAAGGTTAGTGAAGGTCTTGGGCCCAGGGTTAACGTTATGAATTCAGTGCACGATATTGACCATGGAGCAATTGTCGCAGGACCAAATGTTAAGCAACCCGTTTATCATCGATGTCTGCCATTCTGCCAATAATTAACACTTCTGTTAACACCGCCATGAGGTACATGGAGGTAGATACGTGTATCCCTGGTGTTCTCATTGGTGCAGAGATACCGCAATGGTGTTATCATTAGACCTCAACCTTTTCTAACCCTTGTAGTCGTTCACAAGCGATGGTGCTTTGTAATGATAATAATAATGATAGTGGGTTCTTGTAAAGCGCTTATGTCTGTCAGACTGGACACTCCTAGCTGGCGCTCCACGTTATTACTCCACCTTTAGCATGGCCGCCGTTATGGTGCTCTAACATTTCAAGGAATTAATTCCTGCCAGGTACCCATATACATCACCCGGGTTGAGTGTGGCAAAATGTATATTAATCTCTTGCCAAAGTACATTAATGCCCCGGCGGGACTTGAACCGCAAACCATGTGATTCCACAGTCCTAAGACGTATCAACTCGACCACAACACCAGAGGGAATAGAAATCCTACTTTTGCATTTGCTAAGGGGACATTTATTTTAGGCTTATTTTATTAGAGATACAGGATTAGGACTTGGGTTGATATTGTGTTTTAGGTTAGGTTAATGGATGATGTTAGAGTTAAGATTAGATTTACCAGGTCCAGGGTTGAAGTTAGGAATTGAGTTAGTGAAAGACTGTGACTGCCCGATCAGGGTTTGTTTTACGATCAAGAATGGATATCATCTCTGTATATTGCCAATCATGGCTATCTTATTCTCCTGTTCCTTGATATGAAGTTAACAACTAAATTATTCAAACCCTTACCAATTTTTGTAATGTGTTATTAGTATGTGAATAATTGATTTGCCCTGATTAATGTATCTTGAGAATGTGATATATTAGAGCTTACATCTAAAACTATTTAAAAAAAGGCCCTAGTTCAACCAGTCCACCTTTTATTCTCGACTATCTCGAGTTAGGAAAATCATCAACTTTACAAGGGGTATATGAATGATTTAGTTGTTAACTGTATATTTCATTTTACCCAGTCAGGAACGAAACTTAGTTTGGGCATTGTGAAGGGGGGGGGGGGCCACTGACATCATTTCATGGTGTGGGGCATCAGTCTGTCAAAGAGATGGGTGAAAAGTGAAATGAAAAGGCCATTAGATAAGGATGTGAGAGGGAGTTTTATCAACTTTTTTTTCTTCATGTTCCTTATCTTGTTCCTTTTGTTCCTTTCCTGCTTTTCTTTTCTTTTCTTTTCTTTTCTTTTCTTTTGTAACCAACGTGCGAAAGCATAGAAAAATGTATGCATATGGGACTAGACGATATGTTTTAGCAGGGTCAATTAGCTTTATTCTGTATATATTTTGAAGTTTCTTACTTTCTTACAATCCTTCGTTTTATATTTTCATCTAAAAACTTAAGTAATATCATTTATGCAGAGCCTTCATCATGCATTGTCACTTTATTTGGATTTCATTAGAAAAAGCATAAACATCTACTCAAGATTATCTTAAATAAACGTTGTATGTGTATGCCCCCTCCCTTTCAAAAAATTTCATTTCATGTGTCGAAGGAGCCTCACTTTTCTTCTCCCTTTTCTGATTGATTAGATCTATTACTCTATAATGTTGAGTGACTTTGTTGCGAAGCATCACTCCATGCCATCATGTATTCATAGCAATCACAAAGAGTGTTATTCCATTAAGACTTGGGGGCCGAGTGTCTTTGCAAACTGCATTTAACATGATTCCATGTTTGCTAGAGATGCTTCGTAGGGTATAAGTTATGCATACTCATGCTTGGGGACAAGGCTAGCTATCATCTCCGACTTTGTGCTGTAACAAATTCTGGATTTTGTTTTCCTTGCTCTGTATCTATCCTTCCGAATGTGGGGAAGAGTTAATCAGTGATTTAGATTCACTGGTATGATTTAGAGTTTTCTTTAATTGTTGCATAATACTGATTCCATAATAAGCCTTGGTTAGTTTAGCCTATCTTGGAGACTGTGAATAGTGAAATACCAGAATTGTAAATTATGTTAAATTACACTTTGCTCCAGGTAGCCATAAAGGGGAAGTCAGACCTGATTTCAGTTGGGTTTTAATAAAAAGCTGAAAAGTGAGAAAAACAAATGAGTGGAAGTTTTAGTAATATCCAATTAAAAATAAGAAAGTTATGAATATTTTAATATGTCATTAGTGGAACACAAATTAGCGTCACTGTGACTATTCTGACGAGCTCCACTCCAGTTTGCTCTGTACAGATATTTCATAAACTTTCAATTTTTAGTTACAGATGATGGAATAGATTAGTGTCATACAGGGGTTGTATAAAAAGATATTTGCAATAATTATATTTAGGGTGGATATATGATTGAAAATGTTATGAAGGGAAAATATATGAATATACCAGTATATACTTTAGAACAGGGCAAATGGGAGGGGTCCTCGCAAGATAGATCACAGAGTTGCCAATTTGTATTTGATTGATCGCACCTTTTAAAAAGAATAATAATTTTTTAATTTTTAATAATTTTTTGCCTTAAAATCAACTTAATTAAAATCAACTTAAAAACAGGCTGGACTTCCCTTTTAATAGGTTATACTTCCAGTATGGCTCCAATATGACCAGCAACTTGGAAATACTCCAGACATATTCAAACTCATTTCAACATGGGGGAGAGGTATGGTGGCCCTGAAGGGACATCGCGAATAGACTAAATCGTGAAAAATATGCGATAAAATTCACGATATCGTCAATTTTATCGCATATTTTTCACGAAGAAATTCACGAAATTGACGATATCGTGAACTTTATCGTGAACTTTTCACGATGAAATTGACGATATCGTGAATTTTATCGTGAAAAGTTCACGATATCGTCAATTTTATCGTGTACTCTATCGTGTACTCTCCTGACGGGCGCTTCGTAAACAAAACCAGCCCTAGCTGGGGGAGACAGAGAGAAGGAAAAAAGGGAAAGGGAAAGAGAAGATAAAAGGAAAGAAAGAATAATAAGAAGAAAAGAGGGAAACGGGGGGGGGGGGCGAAGGGCTCTTGCCTCCTCCTCACTCCCCCCCCCCCTCCCCGGCCAAAAAATAAATAAGGAGAGAGAGAAGGGAAAGGGAAAGGGAAAGAAAATATAAAAGGAAAGAAAGAAGAGGAAGAAGGAAAGAGGGAAACGGGGGAAGGGCGAAAGGCTCTTACCTCCCCCCCCCCCGCCAAAAAAATAAATAAGAGATAGAGAGAGAGAGAGAGAAGGGAAAGGGAAAGAAAGAAGAGGAATAAGAGGGAAACGGGAAGGGCGAAGGGCTCTTGCCTCCTCCCCCCCCCCCCCGCCAAAAATAAATAAGAGAGAGAAGGGAAAGGGAAAGAAAATATAAAAGGAAAGAAAGAAGAGGAAGAAGGAAAGAGGGAAACGGGGGAAGGGCGAAAGGCTCTTATCTCCCCCTCCCCCCGCCAAAAAAATAAATAAGAGAGAGAGAGAGAGAGAGAGAGAGAGAAGGGAAAGGGAAAGAAAGAAGAGGAATAAGAGGGAAACAGGGGAAGGGCGAAGGGCTCTTGCCTCCTCCCCCCCCCCCCCGCCAAAAATAAATAAGAGAGAGAAGGGAAAGGGAAAGGGAAAGGGAAAGAGAAGATAAAAGGAAAGAAAGAAAAGGAAGAAGAAGAAGAAAAGAGGGAAACGGGGGCGAAGGGCTCTTGCATCCCCCCGCCCAAAAAATAAATAAGAGAGAGAGAGAGAGAAGGGAAAGGGAAAGAGAATAAAAAAGGAAAGGAAGACGAATAAGAAGAAAAGAGGGGCTCTTGCCTCCTCCCCCCTCCCGCGCCAACAAATAAATAGGAGAGAGAGAGAGAGAGATAGAGAGAAGGGAAAGGGAAAGGGAAAGAAAATATAAAAGGAAAGAAAGAAGAGGAATAAGTAGGAAAGAGGGAAACGGGGGAAGGGCGAAGGGCTCTTGCCTCCTCCCTCCCCACCCCCGCCAAAAAAATAAATAAGAGATAGAGAGAGAAGGGAAAGGGAAAGGGAAAGAGAAGATAAAAGGAAAGAAAGAAAAGGAAGAAGAAGAAGAAAAGAGGGAAACGGGGGCGAAGGGTTCTTGCATCCCCCCGCCCAAAAAATAAATAAGAGAGAGAGAGAGAGAAGGGAAAGGGAAAGAGAATAAAAAAGGAAAGGAAGACGAATAAGAAGAAAAGAGGGGCTCTTGCCTCCTCCCCCCTCCCGCGCCAACAAATAAATAGGAGAGAGAGAGAGAGAGATAGGGAGAAGGGAAAGGGAAAGGGAAAGAAAATATAAAAGGAAAGAAAGAAGAAGAAGACGGAAAGAGGGAAACGGGGGAAGGGCGAAAGGCTCTTACCTCCCCCTCCCCCCTCCCGCCATAAAGGGAAAGAGAAGGGAGAGGGAAAGAAAATATAAAAGGAAAGAAAGAAGAGGAAAAAGAATAAGAAAAGAGGGAAACAGGGGCGAAGGGCTCTTGCCTCCTTTCTTTTCTTTCTTTTCCTTTCTTTCCTATTCTCCCTCTTTTTCGTTTTTCTCTTTCTTTCTTCTCTTTCCCTTTCCTTCTCTCTCTCTCTCATTTATTTTTTGGCGGGGGGCGGGGGGACGAGGCAAAAGCCCTTTGCCCCCGTTTCCCTCTTTTCTTCTTCTTCCTCTTCTTTCTTTCCTTTTATCTTCTCTTTCCCTTTCCCTTTCCCTTCTCTCTCTCTCTCTGATTTATTTTTTGGCGGGGAGGGGGGGGGGGGGAGTGAGGAGGAGGCAAGAGCCCTTCGCCCCCCCCCCCCCCCCCCCCCCCCCCCTTTTCTTCTTATTATTCTTTCTTTCCTTTTATCTTCTCTTTCCCTTTCCCTTTTTTCCTTCTCTCTGTCTCCCCCAGCTAGGGCTGGTTTTGTTTACGAAGCGCCCGTCAGGAGAGTACACGATAGAGTATACACGATAGAGTACACGATAAAATTGACGATATCGTGAACTTTATATCGTGAACTTTTCACGATAAAATTCACGATATCGTCAATTTCATCGTGAAAAGTTCACGATAAAGTTCACGATATCGTCAATTTCGTGAATTTCTTCGTGAAAAATATGCGATAAAATTGACGATATCGTGAATTTTATCGCATATTTTTCACGATTTAGTCTATTCGCGATGTCCCTTCAGGGCCACCATAGAGAGGGGTAAACCCAGAATGATATAGAGACCACCTCAGCCATGCAAAACTCTAACCATGGCATGAAGCTTCAAGTACCTTCGTACATGTAGCTCATGCATGCTATACCCTTGCAGTGAATATCATCACAAGAACATCCCAATCAAAATCTGCTGCCCTCTCTCGGCGCCTTCCCGCCAGGTTGAACCTCCGCCTCAAAATGTCAACGAGAAGCTGTATGTGGTAATACACTGCAGCTGCCTGAGCTGAGTGGTACTCTCTCCTTCGTATTCATGCTCTGTAATGCAATGCAGTGCATGAATACACATAATCAAAGGGGCTAGCACAGTGTGAGAATGCACATAATTGGAAAGCTAAGTGTAATCACATACAAACACTACATGTTGTCCATATGTACACATATAGTGCGGTCAAATTATGTCTAGCATTTCCTACATCACGCTGTTATGTACGTACAGTGTGTCTGAGATTGACCTAAAATGTGAATCAAATATTTTATCATCATTTATAATGGTTATCCTTTTTTTGATTTTTTAAGAATAAATATTTTTCTCCATAAATTTGACAGACCTGATGCAATCACAACAAAAGCATGAAGTAATTATCACAAAAGGTTATTACATTTGATTGTATATTCATCTCCATTTAAAAGGGTTCCTATTTTCTACACCTGTTTAGTTTAAAAATGGTGTCATCTCAAATCAAATTGAATTTATACCTCCTATATTTGGGCTTATTGCACTTATATGGATAAAATAGTGCATTAGTATTTTTTTTAATGTCTTTGTAGGTATGCTATCTTACCCTAATTTCTTTTCTTTTTTTGGGGGGGGGGGAAGGAAAGATTTTTATTTGTTTTTGTTTTTGGTAGGATCATTACAAAATAAAACTGCATAATTTACATATATGTCAAATTTATGTACAAGTGAAATGCATCTGTGACACCACCACACTGCTAATTTGAAGATTATAAAAGCTAGTAATCACATTTTACCTCTGAAACATATACTAGAAAATTATCATTTATTGACAAGTTGATTTTTAGAGTTATGTAAAGCAGAAAATGATATTGAAAATAGACTGAAAACAGATCACTGCAATTTGGGGAAAGAACAAAGGTATAAATGATTAAGAAAATGTTAAGCTTAATACATACACAAATATAAGGAGGAATTGTATAAAATCAAGTTGTGTAAAATATTATACAATGACATTCATCTTGTGGTTTGTTATGTCCTTTTGATAGTAAAGAGAAGATTCTCCCACAAAATTTCATAACTTTTTTTGTATGCTTGCAAGTAGCAGTAGTATGAGGTTTAAGATATACTTTTGTTCAACATGATCGTAAAATAGGGTTCAGGTTCAACTAAATTGAAATATTACATATAGGTCCCAATATATTTTAATTTGATCTTGATCTTTATGGTATAAATATTGTACAGCACACAAACTTTACATTTTTAAGTCTTATTGTGCATAGAAAACTGTTACCTTGTAGCAAATGATTGATGGTGAAGCCACACAAAATGCATGAAGGTTAAAAAACAATACTATAATTCCACATGTGGGTGAGAGGGGGTTGTAGATATTAATTAAATGCCCAAATGTCATGATTCATAAGACAAGGATTTGAAACTCACTTCCGTATGATTAGAAAACACTTTTTATTTTTCATGTCTGAACTGTTTGTCCAAGAACCCCCAAAACACTGCTGTATTCTTCAAAGAGCTATAGTTATAAAAATTTCTATGCTTTCAGTTGATGAATATTCATAATGAATTAAAAGATTTTCACTAAACTAATCTACAGTGCACAATGTTGTCTAAACATAATTCAAATTGAAGCCATCATTTTTCCCCTGTTATTCAATCATGTCTTTTTTGCCAAGTACCGTCTCATGTAGATTTCAAGTACCGTATAGCTTCTCAGGTTTTTTGAAATATGTTTAATGGAAAAGAATAATACACAGTTTCAATGAGTTGTTCCTTTATCTTATCCTTTTCCTGACCTCGTTGGTTTGGAGGTTCAGAATTTTCTGCAGGTACTCTCAGCTTGTAATTGAATCCAATACATTGGCCATGAAGAAACATGGAGGATGGATAGCGTGCAGATAAACGCTTTCATTTATCTGCGGCGGCGTGCAGCAAGGTGTACTTCAGACAGAAATCAGGATAGGGGTCCCATAAAAGGTGGAGACATGTTAATAGACATAGTACATGTATGTGTCTTCTGGTGCATGCATTTGTTTGTAACATTTTTCATGTATGTAATTTTTTTACAGAGTGGGAACTTTCACCCTTCTCCTTGTAAAACTTGCATAATTTTCCCTTAATGTCTATTGAAAATAAGGAGGGGTTTATTAACGTCTGTGTTAATATGACACTCTGATCAGCTATTTTCTCCAAATATCACTTGAAAACCAGAAGGAACTTTAATCATATTAAAGTAACATGTGTTATGCTTAATGCGCCCTTCCTGGTCAAAGCAAATGGTGAAAGTATATGTTGACTGAATATTCAGACTATTGACTGCTGATAGCAAAATGGACATTGACTCATATACCATTATATATAGGACTTACGATCTTCTGGTTCTCAGATATCATCTGTTGAGAGCCCCAGGGTTATAGAAATGTGTTAATGATACAAGTTGACCCTCTTATGGGTCTTGGTAGATATTATAAATCGGTTTAATCATTATGCAGGTACCTATGCTGACATAAATTAGTTACCACTGGCCCCTTTGCATCCTATATCTTGTAAAAGATATTTTTAACAACATGTAATCTATCTTTTTCACATGTCATGCACCTATTATTGCCTCATATTCCTGCAAAAATAGGATTTTTCTTCCTATATTATCTTATCTGTATATCATACTTGCATTTGACAACCGTGGTAATATAAGCTCCCTCTTATAAATAAAGTAATATTTGTAAAATAGAATGACAGGCTTTTTTCAAATAGGTTAATGGAGATCCTTGCTGCACGTGTTGCCAACTTGAGACCATTTAATTTTGAAGATACGAGTATTAAAGCGAGCATGCTGATATACGTGTGCTTATACACCGCCGTGTTGATTGACAAGCATGAAAGGATAAAAATTGAACCTGTGTAGGCAATTACTTAATATACTCGTGACTTTGGGGAGAACTCAGGGTGCCATAATGTCCTGCCATGCATGAAATACACAGGACAGTTATGTTTGATTAATGTCAGGTTTAATTAAACATAACTCAATGGGATTGAAGTGTCTATGTAAGATTATGAAATAGTTCAGTGTCAAATGCCATGCACAGCGAGTTTGTAACAATTTTCATAATAAATGAGACATTATAGAGAATTCAGTTTATAAATAGCTGTAGCAGTAAAAGTGTTTTACCTCAGAGCTATGGCGTAAAGATTCAGATTCTGTTTGCTATATACATGTGAAATAAGATGAAAATATTAAATTAGGAAACACAAATACATATTATATAAAAATATAAGGCAAAATCTGAATTATATTCCACTTTTGACTTGCTTGTCATGCTTTGCAACCATTAAAATACCGTAAGGAAAATTGCCAATTTGACCATTTAATCAGATTTCCAAACTTCATCATGTATGATAAAATGTATACCGGTATGAGAAATCACTGTTATCAAAGTAGTATTGAAAGTCTCTAATTTATTGCTTATTAAAGCCTAATGTAATATATTTGGATATCACATTAACTGATAATCATGCAAGCATGAAATATATTTCAAAACCCTGATTAATATTTCCTTTGAAGCTACATTTTATGTGGATATAAACAAAAATAGTTTAAATCTTTGCATACGAGTCAAATAGGTTTGTTCCGCCAGTTTAATACGAGTGTTTGATGCCGTTTTTAAATCAGAAATTTAGATTTAGTAATGTACTCATAGAACATGTACATTTTGTTGGAATATAATTTAATGACATTCTCTTTGTGGCACCCCCATTGTGTAAAATGGTAGAGCCTCGGTGAGACAAGCCTCAATTCATCTCCGCAAGCCCACTTAGTATGCACGTTATCAGCCGCTGCAATTCCTCATTACCTCCCCTATGTGAGGCTCAGTAATTCTGTATGCATTCAACACACAACACACACACACACACACACATCCACCACCTTTTCAGCTCTCTCTCTCTCTCTCTCTCCCGATATCTCATACTCTCGCTCATTTTCATCTGTTCCCTCTCACGCTCTCCCTCTCCCTCTCTCTCACACACTCGCATGCATACTGTCTGTCTAGTACATGGGGCATCGTTAATAACTCAGTGCACACATTGTGTCTCCATTGCTATGTGCTATCAGAAGGAGAAAGCTCTTGTCATATGATTAGATTCATAGAAGAGAGGATACCGCAAACGCTGATGCACCTTTTTGGAACGATAATAACATCCATAGCGTGAGAAAATCATTCTTGGTGGAGAATTCCTTTCAAACGAAGGTTGCCATAATAACAGAACGCCGGAACCGCCTCTTCCTCGAAGGAAAGGTGGTGGTTTGGGGGGCAAGTGTGCCTCATGGGCATGGCAGCATATGAGATAGGAGTACCCCGTCGTGGTTCCTCACGAATCACTCGCAAGAGGACGATACCTGCGCATTGCAACACCCAAGGGGAATGGCAAGCCTAGTGGTGCAAGCTGACATGTGCATGTATAATGAATGGAGTGACACTGCCTACATACGGCTTCGGTGTGAAGAATATATCCACATCTCATGGTGATAACCTGACGCAATTGTGCAGGGCTCTGTCTTCTTGCAACAGTGTCTCCGGCAGCTCAGAGACACATTTCTTAATCCCTGGTGGACACCTAATGCTTGCTGCATTACTCATTTCCCATCATCTTCCTCCGGAATCCATGCAACCGGCGCCATTTGTGAGTTATTGATATTCAATGTGAACTCAGCGCAATATTCTCCTCTTTAATTGTTTATCATCATGAATATAACATTCCAGGAGCAATGACAATGTTAGTTTGACATGTACAATAGCTTCAATGGACTAGACTGTTGCTTTATGAATATCCCATTCAACAAGCCTCCCAGCAAGGCCAGATATCAAAGGACGTCTGTCTTGACGTGTCAGAAACTTGATGTATTGCTTCAAAGAGACATGACTTATGACGTATGTGAACTGCACTGCCTATGACCTGCAGGTTCCTAGACAATTGTGAAATAACTTGCGACATAAAAAGCTGATACGGAAAGCTCATATTCCAGTAGATGCTATTATACTTTACTAGAAAGAGACAATTAATAGTCAAACATATTGCACATTCTCCAAAGAAGCTAGCTTTCATGTAACAAGTGCATCTTATAGCAAGATAACAAAGTGCAATTGAAAGCATTTAACCTACACTATAGAAAAGCAAGCAACAGATTTCTTTTACGATTGTATATATTAATTTTGTCATTTTAAAGTTACTTCCAAAGTTTTTGCCTATGCAATTTATGTTGGTTTCTTTTTTTGAAGAATTTTGCGTGTATTTTTTAATTTCTAAACATTTTTGGTGCCTCATTGCGTATATTTCGTTTGTTAGAGATTATTTTTTAACAGATATAAATATCTAAAATCATTTTGTTCTGCTGCTTATTGCTGTCTCTGTAAATCTTCCACTGGAGCAAGTTATTAGTTTTGCATTTGAGTTGATAAGTATATCTTCTCATGAACAAGGAACGTAGCTCAATTTGATGGTTGAAGCATCAAGTCACTCTAATTCTGAACTCACAAGTGATTACATAACAACTTAAGAGCCCTGGAAGCAACACCATTGCTTCACTTGCACCCGTCTCTGAGTGTACTCCAAAGACGACTCTTCACATACATGCAGACACTAGACTTTATAGTCTGAACACATCGGGAAACAGATCTGAACACCGATTCCGTAAGAGTTTTCGGCAAGCTCTTCAAGAACTTCTGCGGGCTTGGAAGCCTCTTGGATCAAGTGTACATCTCCAAGTTCTGGATTATTCATCTATTCTAGCGGACATGGAAAGATAAACGTCTATGGTGGAATAAGGAGACATTTTAAAACGATTTCTTGTTGGGGGTTATCACAATGACATGGGCAAAGCGAGACCGTGGATCTTATTCGTCAGTCAGTCAGTTTGATCCCGATTACCACATGTCGACGGACGAGGTACGTTCTTATATCCTATAAAGCGATGTATAAAATAGCTTTCAAATGATGCTTTTTCCCGGCCAATACCAATATAACAATTATAATTACATGTATCTTCTTAAAACATGACCACAAGGACTTCCCCTATTGTATTGAGTTTAAAACATGATGTTGTAATTACAGTTAACCTTGCGTTGATATTCTCCCTATCAAAAACGTGTATGGACAATCCATTTTGTGCGTGCGTTGGTGATATACTCCGAATCTTGATCTCAATTAATAGCAAATTGACGACATGGGTATATGCCTCATTCCCAACAAACAAGCATGCATTTGCAAGAATGAAGTGTTTCTTGGATTGATTTATAAGTCATTCTTCTTTGAACTTTTATTTCTCCCTTCACTAACTTTGAAATACTTGGACAGTTTGTTGTGTAAAGTTTGTTTTCGTTCATTTTTTCCCTTTTCAATATCGGAGTTACCAATTGAGAGAGAGAGAGAGAGAGAGAGAGAAAAAAGAGAGAGAGAGAGATTACTATTACTTTAGTGATTGCAAAGTCAATTCGACAACCAATAGTCTTTATTTTCCCACTTAAAGACATTTTCAAGCCCTTTCGTTTTGAGGGAAGCTCTAATTAGTGTTATCTTTCAAATGCCATTGGAATTGAACTTTTTCTCTATTTTTGGCCTGCAAATGGGACATGGTGGTACCTTTAAGAGGTTGTTGAACACATTCTATGTCAACAACTTGTGCCAGGTTGACTGTTTGTCATATGTTCTTGTCCTGCCCACACATTTTAAAAGGTGTGAGACACAAGGCTACTGAAGTTGCATTAGGTTAATTTATTGAAAGTTTCTGCAAGTTTCATAAGGATGACATAATTATATTAGGATATCTTTGAACTTTGCATGGAACCAAAGATTTGTACCGTCTAATCAAAGATTTTATACCAAAGGTCATGTTTATCTTGTAGCAGATTCGCAACATTGTGAGACAAACTTGTAGAATGCCAAGGCCTTCACAAAAACCTGAAAGATCTGCAACATGTTGATTTTGTTTTTGGTGCCTTTTTCTTTGTCAGTTTCTTCGGTGTAAGGAATTGGTGCATGACAATTTTCACTCTTGACTCTCATTTTAATGATATCTCAGATCTTCATATCTCCAATTATAAAGAGATTTAAATTCTCTACAGATTGAACACTCATAAAAAAGAGCATAGCTCTCATAGAAGTAGACATGACTGTATAGCATTTTGTAGTTCAAAGCATATAAAAAGTGCCACGAATAGTCAGGATGGAAATACATAAATAATGAAACTTCATGAAAACATTCTTAATTTGTTTTCTATCAGTGAAACAGTAATTGTTCAGAGTAGCTGGATAATGTTAACCCGAGTATAAAAATATTTTGAAGAAAGTTTCAGAAATCGCACATTTCATTTAC